AAAGCAAGGGTGGTTTGCATTTGTTAGGAGTTTTTCTTTGATGTATACTCTATGCTGCGAGTAAAGTTTTCTTAAAATCTTTTAGCAGGCAAAATCTTAATCAGAAAGTATAGATCAGTTATACAGTTATGTAATTTTAAAATAATGGGATCTAAATATTAGTAATGTTTCATATGTGTCTCAGATATTATTATGAGTTCACATTATCTAGATGCCATATTCAGGATTAAGCCATTTTTAAGAGCAGAAAATTATTTTCTTCCACTTGCTGTATGTAAGAAAAGTCAAAAGGACTGTAGAAAAAAGGGCTGTGGTTAGTCTTCTGCACAAGAAGACTGAGAATAAGGAATTGGGAGAGCATGATTTCTGAAAAGGAGCTAGGATTTAAGATAGGGAATTGGAACAACTGGAAACATGAGCCAAGTAGGAGGTGTATGGAGGGAGGGGAAGAAAGTAAAAGTCTCCACCTAAGTTGTAAAGTTAGTCCCTACTATGAAAGATTCTTACATCAGTGAGGGGCCTGCTGGAGGGTTATGGGGAAGAGATCAAGTCTGGGGAGGTGTCAAAGGAGTCTGACTGAGAACTCCTTTCCAGAGTCTGAAAAGATAGTCATGTTCTTTGATGCTCAGTGTTATTTGGTTTGATTGCACTGGGAAACTATTCTCTCTAAAACTGTTCCGTCAAATGGATGATACCTAAAATTTTCCTCAGTTAGGTTTTTAACTTAAGTAGCCACCATCTGTAACTGTGTAAAAAGATGCTGCTCGTGAATTATAAATTTCAATATTATGAAAATTTGTTTTGAGTTTGATTTTCCCCTAATTTATGTATGGGGAAAAATTACACTCAAAGAGTATACACTTGCAAAATCAGTAATTATGAATCAGTAATTTTGAATTTTAATTGAAAACCATTCATGTTTTCATTTCCAGGGTAGGTGATTTGATTTTGTTTAGGAGTGTAGCTAATGTCTGAGGCCTTTTGATCTGCCATCTAAAGCTGGCAAATTTCTGGCACCCAAATTAATGGAAACAGTGCTCCTTAAAATTTATGCCTTAGCATATGTTTGGTTTTTTTACTTCTGAGGGGCCTTGTGAAGGTTTAATTGTTTATGAAGGACTGAGGTTCCTTAATGATTGAATTAATTGAATCCAAGTGGCAAAGTAATAGAAGATAAGGCTTGCACATAGACATTGTATACTTCTGGGTGAAAAACACCTGCATGTAACAGAACTGTGAGCCTAGACAGTAAGGAGACTGAAATAAGATACAAGTGTGGTTGAAGTGAGGTAGCATCTTTTTACACAGTTACAGATGGTGGCTACTTAAGTTAAAAACCTAACTGAGGAAAATTTTAGGTATCATCCATTTGACGGAACAGTTTTAGAGAGAATAGTTTCCCAGTGCAATCAAACCAAATAACACTGAGCATCAAAGAACATTAATGATGGTAGTAGAAAAACATAGGAGAAGATAATTCTCTTGTTGGAGCATGGTTTTGAATAGTGGAATAAGACTCTAAGGGAGACTGAGGGCAACTCATTGAATGATACAAACTAAAAATATTGAATGGCTGTTCAAGACTGCAGCCCCTTCTGAAGGGAAAAATAACATGTGATCAAGGAATTAACAATGATGTCATGATGTGCATACAGAAGTTGGCTGAATTAAGCTAGCAGAGAGAAAATTTCCTTCAGAAACTGATTTTGTGACATTAAATATATCTTCTTAATCTAAACTTTGGCATATCATGCATTTCACTCACGTAATCTCATATATTAACTACAATTTAATACTGTGATCGAGTGCTCCTCTCATGTAAGTACTGCAGTTATCAAGCGTATAAGATTTCTATTTGGATATTTGCTTGTTCTGTATGGCATCATAAATCAATCCAGATCTTAAGAATTGCTCAGCAGTTCTGTGAAGGTAATTCTAGCATTTGACAGGATTAGGCCTTTAACAAAGAGTAGGAAGTCATTGCCTTCAGTCTGTTACTTATCTAATAAAGGAATTTATAAGGTCTTATAGGTGCATTGTGCATGTAGTCATGAAGAAGACCATAAGGCAAAACAATTAGCAGATTGTTAAAATAATGTTCGAGATTTGGTTGATAACTGATCTATCATTCAGTTGTTTTCATCTCACTTCCAAGTTGAATGTATGTAGCTATGTTAGGATACTTGATGCTAAGCTAATTAAATTTGAATTTTTATAGTTTAAAAAAAAAAAGACTTAATTGAATTTCCAAGACTTGTGACAATTGAAAACCTTGTTAATAGAAACACTTGTCACTGTCTGACTGCATTATAAACACATATAAACTGCCTTGCTTAAAGCCTGCCATGGCAGGATGTCAGAGGTGCACTCTGCCTACACAAGTTTGCAGGGCACCTCTGCATCCCCTCCCCTACCATGGCCTGTCACAGTCCTTGATTATATCTGAACAATTTAGTGGAAGATTACGCTTGCACACAGCCTGTGCAGATGAGTGCCACTCATATTCCATGAAAACGGAAGAATAAACAGCCCATAGCGTGTGAAAGTCTGTACTGTTTTTCAACACTGTAGATAGCTACCTCACTTCAACCACACTTGTATCTTATTTCAGTCTCCTTACTGTCTAGGCTCACAGTTCTGTTACATGCAGGTGTTTTTCACCCAGAAGTATACAATGTCTATGTGCAAGCCTTATCTTCTATTACTTTGCCACTTGGATTCAAGAAAGTGGGTTTGCAGCCTGTGCCCAGATGGTAGGGGGTAGAGTTCTGCCCTGCAACACTGCCTGTACATCTCTTCGTTTACCTTAAGACTTTTCAGTATGGCAGTCTTTAAGGCATCCTAGCTTGGAAGGCTGCTTCCTTTAGTGCTCTTTAAGCAGCCTGGACGTCATGTGTTGCTAAGCCAAGCAAATATGTGACCCATTGCTCTTGGGACTATGTTATGCCCTTGCCAACCCCTTCAAGGTTGTTACAAAGCATTCTGGGTCAACCTGTACAATTATCTCGCCCTATTACTGCCTGATGCTGTCAGTCTCGGGGGTAGAGACAGGGAGCTACGTCACTGACACCCAGGAAAGGAATGTAGAATCATAGAATTGTTTAGGTTGGAAAAGACCTTTAAGATCATCCAGTCCAACCATTAACCTAACATTACCAAGTGTACCACTAAACCAATTAAGGGTAGAGTAGCAATTTTGTGTTTCCTGGCTTGGTGTCTGGATTATTTTTAATGAAAGTAAAAACTAGGAATCATTAAGATTGGAAAGGACCTCTAAGATCATCAGTCCAGTCATCAACCCAACACCACCATGCCCACTAAACCATGTCCCAGAGTGCCACATCTACCTGGTTTTTGAACACTTCCAGGGATGGTGACTCCACCACCTCTCTCAGCAGCCTGTTCCAATGCTTGACTACCCTTTCCATGAAGAAATTTTTCCTAATATCCAATCTAAACCTCCCCTGGTGCAGCTTGAGCTCATTTTCTCTCGTCCTATGGCTAGCTACTTGGGAGAGGAGACCAACACCCACTTCGCTCACACCTCCTTTCAGGTAGGTGTAGAGAGCAAAAGGAGTCCTTCTCCAGGATAAACAACCCCAGTTCCCTCAGATGCTCCTCATAAGACCTGTGCTCCAGACCCTTCACCAGCTTCGTTGCCCTTCTCTGAACATGCTCCAGCACCTCAATCTCTTTCTTGTAGTGAGGGGCCCAAAACTGGACACAGTATTCTGGGTGCGGCCTCACCAGCACTGAGTACAGGGGAACAATCACCTCCCTGCTCCTGCTGGCCACACTATTCCTGACACAAGCCAGGATGCTGTTGGCCTTCTTGGCTACCTGGGCACACTGCTGGCTCATGTTCAGCCGGCTGTCTGCCAACACCCCCAGGTCCTTTTCCGCCAGGCAGCTTTCCAGCCACTCTTCCCCAAGCCTGTAGTGTTGCATGGGGTTGTTGTGACCCAAGTGCAGGACCCGGCACTTGGCCTTGTTGAACCTCATCCAGTTGGCCTCGGCCCATCGATCCAGCCTGTCCAAGTCCCTCTGCAGGGCCATCCTACCCTCGAGTAGATCGACACTCCCACCCAACTTGGTGTCACTGCAAATTTACTGAGGGTGCACTCAATCCCCTCATCCAGATCGTTGATAAAGTTATTAAAGAAGACTGGCCCCAAAACAGAGCCCTGGGGAACAATATGTAGCCGAGTTGCAGATACAAAGCCTTATTTAATTTTAAAAAAGGTTTTTCATAGGACGTACAGGACAATTGCTGGGCAAGGGGTTTCTCCTTCCCATTTTCCTACTTCCAGTGATGAAATATATGCTGAATTTCCTGATACTCCCTTTGACATATTGCATAAAACACATTGCATCTGCTAGGAGAGCCCACTATCTCCAAGACACATGCTGTTGCTATTTGTCAAGGTGATACAGAGGGTCAAGGTCAGGCTAGGAAAAGTGTTTGGGGAATTATATGGGGAATACCTCAGAAAACTTGAGCTCTGGTTGCTGATGTCCGGACAGTTCTAGAGGAGAAAGACCACAAATCAATCATCTTGCAGATCAGTAACAGTAAATGTAAGTGTATAAAGGTTTCAAGGAATCTTATCGACTATGCGTTGAATGCAGATTACCAAAGCTCATGAAAATATCAGGATACACAATAATGGATTCTACAGAAAAAAAAAAAAAAGCCTATTGTTAGAGCAGTACAAGTGACAAGAAAAATATTTGGTATCATTTAAGGCTATGTTTATTTTCTTGTTGAATTTTGGGAACCAAAAAATCTGTGCAACAAAATCATGTAGTATCAAACAAATCAGGAAGAAACTATTCCACAGCCTTTTTATATCAACAAATCAAGTTTAGGAGAGTGATTCCTCAAATTTGTACATTTGGAAGGTGTTTAGTTTCCTTGGTTTTAGTATGTCTCCTTACCCCTTAGAATAACACTAAGCTAAATGGGAAAAAACAAACAGAAAAAAAAACAGAAAACATTTTGTCACACCTAATATATATTATATAACCAGATGTTCTAGTCTCAGATCTGATAGCTTAGCTATCCAAATGAAGATTCCTACTGCTACCAAATCTGAAGTGCTTTCTGCCCTTTGCTGTAAAGCCCTGACAGAGATCTGGTGACTGTGTGTATAACATTTATCCTAACCACAGAAAGTACAAAGACTATTTTGCCAGGATCATGCTGGAAGCCTCTGGTAGGGGTGGAAATCAAAAGTCCCCCTCTCAAGTCCAAAGCATGCAGCCATCCTTTTGTTATTCTTTAATAAGTAAGACAGGAAAAAATATTTTGGCTTTTTCCACTTACAGGCAACATCCCAGTGAGTTTCAGAAAGGTAGCAGCAAGGTACAGAGTCTATGTGCCATTCTTAATATCTATATTATTGCTGTGGAATTAATTATAGTGCCTCAAGGAAAGGAAGTTTTGGTTAGTAAAAACTTGAAAAACTGCTGTTGCTGAAGAAAAAACTTTAAATATAACCAAATAATTTAAACCACTAAGTATTTTGAAAACCTCTTGGGTTATCTTTAATTAAATTAATTATCTTTTAGATCATTTGTGTTTGTGACATCACTGACACTGGTATCTGTGTTTATTGAAAGCTCTGGTAGATTTCCTTGTGGAAAGGGGGAGAGGAAAGTCAACAGTTAAATTTTAAAAAGCCTCAAAAGGTCCACGACAGTATGGACTTTAACTTTTTGCTTTCCATTTACTGTAATGATCAGTGTGGTTCAAATTCTAAACAGGATAATGCAGTTTTCTGAGAGACCTGCTGAGATATCTATTAAGAGGAGATTTATATTAATGGAATTTTGTGATCATTTTGGCAGGTGTCAGTCTTGCAAAGTCACTTTAGATAAAATCAGAACAATTTGTGTAACTGCACAGCTGTAATAAGTGCTGTTCTGTGCCAAGTCTTACACATGACTTTAATGTGAACACTCTCTTGTTTTTATATGGCTTACACAGTGGTTGGGAGATACCAAAAATTAATATGATCACACACCAGATTCAGAGTATGCCTGACTATTTGTGTGTATTAATTCTGCACAAGTCTTCTTTTATCTCTTTTCCAGGCCCAAATGCTTATTCTAGTGGTATCTCCTATAACTTCTCTCTCTTTCGTTAACCCTGCCCTTAAGAATCGGTGGTTGCCCAATTTACGTGAGAGCCAGTTTGTATAGAGGCCCATGCATAAAAATACTTGAGTCATTGCTTTTAATAAGCCCAGGCTTGTAGTATGGCTATGCTTCCAGGAACCCCAAATTGGACTCAGTTCTTTCTGCTGTGAGCCGGTGTGAAGCTTAGTGCAAGTATGCATCTTTCTTCACAGCTGGTATTAAGCTTAGATTTGCTGAGGATAATGAGAGAGAATAGTGGGTAAAAAAACCCCTCCAGAACACCAGAACTGTCCCTGGTGCAACCACTGTGGGACAACACTGAAATGAGGCTTTGAGCTCCCTACGCTGATGTAATTCAGGTCAAAGGAACCCTAGATTTACCAGTGATACTGTGCAGGTAACTAACAGCCCCTAAAGTTTTAAAATCAAAGATCGATGCCTCAGTAAAAGCAGCAGCTGAGTCAGATGTAGCCAAAATTATGATCAAAATTCAGTAGTCAAAATGGATTTTATCTGAATTTCACCTTTGAAACCAACTTTTCAAGGAGCAAAATAAGAGACAAGTAGGACAGCTTGTTTTTCTGAGCTGCAGCAGCCTAGCCAGGTGAAACTTAGTGGAAAGGCACCAGCCAGAATGGAGAAGTCCTCCCCAGCTTTTACTGAACTAAGGAGCTACAAAGGCAGAGATTGTTAGGGTGTGCAGGAAGGGATTCCCTACAGGGTATCATCCAGTGTGTTCTGACCATTGGAGAGAGCTCACCTTGGAGGATCACTCCAAAATAAAGTGCCCCAGAGGGATGTGGACATTGGTTGGAGACCAATAGAAAGAGTTCAGACATTATGGATCAGTGACTATTCTTTTACAAAAGTCAAGAGGAATTTTGGGGTGTGTTGGAGCCATGTAACCTATATACTAATGTGCAGATTTGCATGTGGAACTGTCAGCAGAAGCAAACTAGCTTTGGGGAAAATGTTATGTCAAAGGAATTTTGAAGAAAAAGCTTTAGTATGGGGAGGAAAATAATAGAAAAACTGATTTTTAATTGTCCAGAAGATTTAATGTATAATCACTGATGTTCTTGTATGTGGATTCAAAGTTTTCATTCGCATTCTCATTTTTGAGGAAAAGAAGCTTCCTTTCTTTAATGCCAACATCTTCAACTGTCATCTTTTTTTCTTTGTGTGTTCCTTCAATTTTTTACAACCTGTTATGCTGCAAGAGTAGTGATAGCAGATCTTGCACATGGTCCTGATTGCCAAAGACAAGTTACTTAATGTAGACAAATGTGTAATACTTCTACAGGTTTTAAAGTTTTCTGAGCAGGGTGTTTCTGACAGGTTATGTTAATTATCTCTTTATAGCATAAAGACAAAAAATAACACATTATTGGTTGTACTGCCACAAAGCTATTTCAGGTCACTTTAAAAAGTAATAGAAATAAGGGTTTTGTTTTGTGCTAGAAAGTGCAATAGTGGCACATTAATAAAACCTAAATTTTTATGTAATATAAGAATTTATTTAGTGATGCTGAAGCCAAGTTTTCCTATGCCATCCAGTAAAAATTGACTAAAAGGTAATTGGAACTGGAGAATCATTTTAATAAGTTAATAAACAGGAGAATATTTTTGTATGGGATTCTATCAAAGTAATTAATTGGGTGAACTAGATTTTACATCATTATAGATGACAGAGCTAGCAGGCAATTTGTGTATGATGCGTTCAGCACCACTGTACTACTTTTTGTATTCCTTGTGAAGGGCAGTTAAGCTGCCTGTTAACTTCTGGAAACAGTTGGAGATAGTTTTAAGTTCAAATACAAGTTTTTATCCAGTTACACTGAAAGTATTGTTTCCATTAAAAAAGTAAAGCATGTTGTCATTTTTCTGTATGTTAATTAAAGATCCATCATAGTCAATTCTGAAAAACAACATTCACAATACTATGTACATTGCATAAACGTTTGGGCTTTTTGATGCAACTGATTTGTTTGAGGGACTGTAAATTACTGCAAGTTTTAATTCAGACAAATTTTCTCTTAACTACTTGACACCTCTGTTTTACTTTTTATTTGTTTCTTTTTCAGGAACTGTAATTGGTGTTGTCATTTACACAGGCAAGGAAACTCGAAGTGTAATGAACACATCCAATCCAAAAAATAAGGTAAGTTAGCCTTACTGTGGGATTTCCTACTTTTGTTTTCATAAAACTTAAAAATAGATGTACCTAAACCCAAAAATCTGCAAGCTCTTACGCTGATGTATTTCGTGTGTGCTGGACTGACTTAAACTTTGGTATGAGAAGGGAATTCTGCCTCAGTCTCATTTTGGAAATAAAATTGTTCTTCCTTTAGCTAGGAGTGTTACAGGTACTAATGGAAACATTTGTCTTTGAAGTATGAATCTTCAGACTTTTATACTTTTGTCTCATAAGCTAAATATTAATTCCTACTTCACTTCTCTCAGGCTATTTTACTGTAAAGTATTTGGCAAAGCTATGCAGTTGTTTAAAGGAATGTTTATAACAGACTATTAAAATTTATTTGGGCTCCCAGAGGAAGTAGAGCAAGATACCTGAGGTTCCAGTCAGTACCCAGAGTGCTCTTCCAGGGATGTTGTAAGCAATGCAAACATTATCAAGAGATTTGTCTGTTGAAAAGATACCCAAAGTTTGAGTGCTTCCCTCTGTACAAGGTTCTTTCAGTTCAAAACAAAGCAAATAGCTCTTCATTTCATTGGTAATGTTTCTGATGTGAGTTGGGAAGGGCCCTCAATTATAAAGGAATGGAACTTCAGTTGTAGTCTGGATCTTACAACCTAGACCTGTGTTTAGTAAGAAGATACTTAATTGTACTAAGAAAGGAAAAAAATTCTTGCAAGAGGTTTAGAAAAAATCAATCGTGACAGGTTGCCATTTTCACGCTATTCATAATAAGTTGCTCTGAGTAGGAACATCAAGAATAAAATAATACAAATTGCTTGAAACAGTTATTGCAGTCCCCTGAGTGTATTGATTTGTGTTTCTAATAAAGAGATGCTTTTAAATGTCTCACTGACAGAGACAGGTGATATGTACCATTACGTGGATTAAGATGGCCTTTTATTATTTCGGTCTTTGTAACATAAGTTTTAAAATAATACAGTAAAATGGAACTAGAATGTTTATGGTGCATAATTATTTTCTGTTCTATCCAATACAAAGATAAGCCCTTTAGTAACAGAATCTTTCTCTAAGAATTCTGAACAACTTCTGACTAATAAATAATTCTTACAGGTGTTTAAAATTAAATTATTTAATATAGTAAATTGGTAGGGGAGTATGCATAAATGTAACATGCTCTACTCAAAATTCAACAGATTCTGGAGGTGTATAAGATTTTTAGTAAATGTTTGTTAAAATTTTTTTTGCATGAATATTTCATACAGAAAACTATGATAAAGGGTAGAAAGGATTTGTGTTTAAAATTTGTCTGATGTTTTCAGAATGACTATTAATATTAAAACAGTTGCTCCAAGTTTTCATCAGCAAAAGATTAAGTAGCAGCTAAACCTACAAAAAAGACATCCAGCAGCTTGTTGACAAGCTGCAGCATGGTTTTTACTATTATGACAATACATGTACCACCTTTGCTTGCAGAGTACTTTAATGTTAGAGCTGCTAACAATTAAATGTTGTATTCTTTCATCTATAGTGGGAACCTAAATAAACTTACAATTTTCATGAAACACTAAGAATCAAAATATTACATGTACACATGCACACGCACACACATACACAAACTGAGCCAAATCCTAATAATCTGGCATATATCGCACTATCAGTATATGAACACTATCTGAAATAATTAGCTAGAGGAACAATTTAGGGGAGGTTTAGACTGGACATTAGGAAGTGTTTCTTTACTGCAAGAGGGTGGCCAAATCCTGGAATAGGCTTCCTGGAGAGGTGGTTGATGCCCCATGCCTGTCAGTGTTTGAGGCATTTGGACGATGCTTCAAACACACTTTTAACTTTTGATCAGCCCTGAAGTTGTCAGGAAGTTGGACTCGATCATTGTTGTAGGTCCCCTCCAACTGAAATAGTCTAGTCTGTTCCAATTAGAAATCATGCTTTTAAATAGCATTTTACCTGCCACTGATAAAACAGGTGATGCTTGTATAACTGAACTGTACTCATTAGTTGTACAAAGGCCTTTCAAGGAGTCATTGACCTATTAAGATGTTCAGTATTCTAAATATGTATATTCATTTGTTCCTTGGAGGTGCTTAGTTCTTTGTACCATAGTTAGCTGATAAGAATCTACTAAATGTGAAGAATGAGGCTTAATATAGTATATGTAAAATTACCTGCTTTATGTCTCTGCCTTGGTATTTGCTCTATAGAATAAAAATTAATCTTATACTGAGCAGGTGAAGACCTTCTCTAGAGCCTATTTTCTATATCAGCTCCATCAACTCTGCATCAGCTGTCTTTCTCATTACTCTGTAAATGTGTAAACAAGGCTCATGTGTACCAGTTGTTCAACAATAATATTGGTGTGGAGTTTTTCTCTCTGTGGACTGAACATCCTTGTTTAAAGCAGTAGCCAACAAGTAATGTGACCAGTAAGGATGGGTTTGGGAACTGAAAACAGAAAACTACCTAAGGCTATCACAGATGAGTAAGTGATAAAATGCAGTACTTCAGTGTGAAAAAATAGTTGTCAAAATTTTTTAACATGTAGTTTTAACTCTACCTTTCTGTGGAGTTAGCATTACTGTCTCTGTATCTTCTACTGCAGGGTAAGATTGGTTTGCATACTTCTGTGAGATAAGATGCTTACTGCCTGTAGGTGATATTCTGTGCTAGTTAGCCTTGCAGCAGGTAGACAGGCAGTGGTCAGTTTATTCCTCCTCTGTGTGTTTGGGAGGGAGAATCTTTCTGTGTTTTCTCAAGCTTGACAATAATAATTACATGTTGGATAGGGTATGTAGCATTAGGAGCCAAAAGGAGGGCAAAGGGAGTCTAAAATAGTCTTTGAGATTAGAAGATACATTACAGTTGAGAGATTAAAGATTTGAACATTTTAAAAAAGTCTGCACCTAACTGTTGCTGAAACAAAATTGAAATTAAATTGATCAGTTGTGATATTGCTGCAAAGTCTAGAGGAAATAAGTCTGCCTCATCTTCTCCTTTAGAGAAGAATTGTTCCAAATACTATTTGGAACTGGTTTTAAATGGCAGATTGTCTCTCTATGCTGCTCTTTGAAAACAAATAAAAATAATAATCTAGAGATTTTCCTGTAAAATGTGTTGATATGCCCTTTTTAGGAAAATAGTTCAGTGGTGCTCGTGTCTTCTGGCTTTGGGAGAAAGCACACACTGAGATCTATGATTATCAATTATATTGCCAAACTGAAATGTCTGTGTCCAGAAAGAAGCAAGAAATACATGGGCTTGACTCTTTTGTCATTCCTCTCTTCAATGAAATACAGATAAATGCTTCAGTATTACTTCTTGCTGGAGTATAACATTACTGCTGTACTTTGTACTATAAACTGTGTTTTTCTAATGGGAAATTTTTAGTTTTCCTGCCTAAGGGTAGATGCTTTTTGACTAAACCAATATTAAAATTTAGAGATTCAGGCCTGCTCTGTAAACACTGAGCAGAAGACTAAAACTGAAATAAGTTTAAGCAAACTTACATATGAAAAATTGTGAAATGTATGTACCTGTTCAAGCATGTGGTTTATCTATATCTTAAACTTTGAAGGATTTATTGTGTTTGCTGAAGTATTTAGTCATTCAAGCAACAATTTTAAGTTAAAGTCAACACTTTGTTGTTTTATTACAATTATAACAATTGTTTCATTGCCTAAGGATGCAGACACGGTCTGAAAAACACAAAGAGACAAGAGAATTTTCTTAATGGATCAATTCAATACGTTTTTAATTCCAAACAATATAAAGAAAAATTATTTCTGACAAGGTTGAAATTCAGTCTAAAATGATATATATTCTGTGCTTTAGATAAATGTAGAAATGGTAACATAAACATTATTATAGTGTAATGACTCTCTGCATTTTACCTCATTGGCAGTCACATCAGCTTACTCAGGAATGCAGTTCCAGCCTTTTTTAAAAAAAAAAAAAAAAATCAGATTGAATTGTGCTCCTCACAATGCTGTAATCAGTAATCAATCCTGTTTGGATAGATATTCTTAAACCTTGGCTTTCTGGATGAAGTTGGACTTGTCAATGCTAAAGGTCATTTATAGGTGTTAATTAACCAAGAGGGAAATTAACAAACTAAGGTTATTTATTTATTTTTGTCTAGCATTTTGTAGTGTTCTTGTTCTTACCTGTTTAAAGTGCAGAATAGTTTTTTGTTACCTAAATTTAGAATTGCTTTTGCAGTTTTGGTCTTCATAGAAAGCAAGATTGTTAGCACAGCCCTTCTGCAGACGTGACCTGTTTCCATCAGTGGCAACAGATTTTGGGGGTAAAGCTAAAAAACCACAATATACTTGGAGGGAGATGGAAATACATTTGAGGGAATGTATTTTGTGTACTAAGATTGAAACATTAAAATTACTTGGACTGTGCAATATATATATACACTCAGAATATACACAGTAATGCATCAAAATGGGTAGAAATCATCTTGAGTACAACTCCTGAGAAATCAGTAACCTCTGTAAAGGAGCTACAACATGTAATCTGCCTAGTGTGCTTCAGATTAGTACAAAAATATTTTTTTATATTGCTAATCCTTATAAGCAGCATTCAAAACACTGGGTTTTTTTTTTTTTGCCTTACACTATGGAATCCTACATCTGCTGTTGTGTTTTAACATCAGAAGTAAAACTTCATAGTAACCATTCAGTGTTCATCAAAATAGTAATATGGTTTTTTCCCTAATTCTTAATGAGCCTGAAAGCTAAATACTGCATGTCTTGTGGTTGGTGCTTTGCTGATTTTGTAGATGTTGTTTGTTTGGGGTTGTTTTTAAACAAATGAAAATCTAAGAACTGGTATTGTTTTTCTTTTATGTGTGTGTGTTGCCTTTGGTTATGTGAAAAAGGCTGCACTGGTGAGCCTTGAAGTAATGAAAAAATATTTCTATTCTGGTAAACTGAGGCAAAAAATCACTTCACCTCTCTCTCCCCTCCCACAAAATTTCT